GGCCTGGAAGTGCGAAGAGGGGTGTGCCAAGGATTTTTGGAAAGTGGGGGTGGAGTCCCAGGTCGGAACTGAGATCTCCGGTGGCAAGGTTCAGGGGCCTAGATGCAATAGAGCACTGGGAAAATTTACGGGCGCGGGCTTTCACGCTGGTTGTGCGGGGCCGTCCGATCCTGGCGTGATTGCCAGTTCAGGGGAGCCTGTCGAGGCAGTCCTTGGGGCCCACGCCTTCGGGGTCCGCCACGTGGCGTGGGGTGGTGGGAACTATGCTTAGGTGCCGAGGCTCCGGGGGTTCGGGTATGGGCACGTTGCCTGCAGCTTCTGCGCGGGGTGGAGGGCCAATAAGGCGCTATGGAATTCCACGGTACTACTGTAAGCTGATGATAGGGGAGGAGGAGGTGGTATGGCGGGAAATTAGTGGCGATAAGGACAAAGCCGGGGGTTATGAAATACTGCGTGTTGTACGTGTTTGGGTAGTCGGGTATCCGTGGGTCGCTTCGTACGGCGAGATGGAATTCCCTAGTGAAGAATCTATCGTTTTCCGTGAGGCAGGGGAACACTGGGTTTCTCAAATTTCCCCGTACTCGGAGTTGCTCTTCTTCCCAGATTTCCCGGTACCCGAAATATGACTCGTAATCCTCGGAATTCCAAGATACGTCGGAACTCCGCGAGCTCGTCATTTTTTCATCATTCACGCCTTGGGGGATAAGTTAATCGGGAAGATCACTGCTCATAAGTGCGTAAGAGAGATGCGAACAAGCCGCACTTCCGCGCACTTACGCGTGATGGGTAACCCGATCCCAGTCGACGTCGACTCCTACTTCAGTGAGGGGCTGAATACGGGCGTTAGCCAAGACGCGATTGGCGAGTCCGAGTGGTATGGACACATATAAACCGCTCTCCATTCGGATCGCACTTGCAGGTGCCCATATGACACGTCGGATGGTGCGCTCCAGACTACCCGTAAGATCCGACAAGCCAACACACTCTACTGATCACGCCAACATGCAATCCCCATTCTCATTCATCATGTACGAGGGTTCGAAGGGAAACGATCAAAAACGAAAATGCGAAGGTGCGCGAACCATCCATACATCATTTGCAAAAGAGGATTCCGGAGAAGTAACGAAAAAGGAGAAAACATCGATACAAAAAAGAATCAAATCGAACAACAGGACGAGTATATGGCCGCAAAGACAAGGGCGAGTTGCCCGTAATCGACACCAAAATTTATATACACAGATAAAAAGGACCGAAAAGAAAAGCGCAAATCCATGTCCATCTTCAACCTCAACTCTCTCTCCTCTCTCTCTCTCTCCGATGCCGACAGTCCGTCGTCGCGCACCAATACATGAAGCCGTCACCCCGCTTAGTCCTCCTGCGCCCGTCAGGTTCGCTCCGCGCCCACAATCCGTCGTGGCCCGCGTCAACCCCGCGCATTCGGCACCAGCTCGTCGGGTTGCCCGACTCCCACTTTACTCACCTCTTACTTTGCTCGTGTGCCGACCCTCTCGATCGCGCAACCTCGAGCTTCCAGCAACTGTTAAGAGAGCAAGTTAATCGCGCAGCCGGAATTTATAGCGTGCATGCATGCGCGAAGAACACGGAATTACAAGGACGTAGATAGATGGGGGAAAGGGAGTGCTTATGTTTGCATGGTCGGGCCGCGGCGCGGCTACCCAGATAGGGATGGGAGAGAGGAAGAAACGAGGTGGGAAGAACAAGGAGCAAGAAACAGAAAGATACAGTTACAAAAGTGGGCGTCCAAAATTACAGTTGCAAAAGGATTAAGGCGCCAATCAATCAAGGTCCTGGCGCAACAGCAAGAAAGAGCGCACGAACACGCAAAGCAGCGTCCCAGGAAGACAAAAATTCCTAAATTCCTAAATTCCTAGCTAGCCTGCCGATATTATGAAAAGGTCCGAAAAGAAAATCAAAATTCCGAAGGCCGTATGGCTCCGACTAAGATTCGAAAAGAAAATTCAAAAAGGAAATTCAAAAAGGAAATTCAAAAAGAGACACCGAAATTCCCGCGCGATGTCTACGCGCCCAAAAGTCCGACAAAACAGAATTAAAAGAAGGGAAACGAAAGAAAAGAAGCGACGTCAACGTTTATTAATCGCGCACTTGGCGCGCACTCCACATCCATCCGACCAAGTTTCACCCCCTTTTGCCCGTGCATTCTCGAATTGTCCCCAACTGTCGAGAACGAAGAAACAACAAAGAAAGCAAGGACACACATGCAATTTTTCCATGAACCCGTCCAGTCGACGTGGGACCCCGCTTAGCACTTCGCGCCGAAAGTCGCGCATTACAGAAGCTAGTTCGTCACATCGCAGATGCTTCATGGTGGGGAGCAGCGTCTGCCACGGCTCCACTCACAGGGGGCCTATACATACTACCAACACATAGCTCACAGAGCACAGGCACTGGTAGAGGTGGCAGGAGCACCTCCCATACACATAGCCTACAGGCACATACCTACAATACCGAAACACACACATATATACATAACCATAGGGCTGGGAGGAGGTCACGACCAACTAATAGTAGTTGTCTCGATGATAAGAGAGGGCGTGAGTTACTAGTCAGTCTACTTAGGGGCTAATAAGTGATTGCTTGAGCCTGGCGTTCGAAGTTCCCGTACGACGAGGCTCGTTCGACTGCGCTTCCACCAGGGCTGGGTCACTAGCCCTGGTGCCTGTCACTACTGTTCGGTCCAAGTTCCCCACGATGGTAGGGTAATGGTCCTGAGTGCTGGTCACACTGAGGTAGGATAGTAGGAATAGGGGGTGCGCTAGGAGTATTGACGCGAGGATGGGATGGGAGGTAGCCTCGTCTCTTCAGACCAACCATGGCTGACAGCTTCCGGCGATCAATGTGAGCCTAGTAACTGGCCTCTACAACACACTGGACTTTTTTAAGGGGAAAAAAAAAAAAAAAAGTATTCTAAGGGCATAATGTGAGCCTAGTAACTGGCCTCTACAGCACACTGGACTTTTTTAAGTGGAAAAAAAAAAAAAAAAGTATTCTAAGGGCATACTCAGGGCATACTCACACGGGGACCTATATTCCCAAAATCCCCCCAAAAAGGGGAAAATGTACTATTCCTGGGGCCATGTCCCACGTGCACTGTTTAGTTGAGGCAACTCAACAGTGTGACAGCTGAAAATGTCCATTTTAATTCGATTTCAAATGAGAAATGCATTTATAAATGCCACAGATACAATTGTTCCGTTTTTTCTCTTTTTTCACAATTGGAGTGGCATACTTCCACAGCAGAAAATGAAGACTTGCCGGAATCCCGTACGAAAATGGCAAACGGACTCGTACAGTTTCTCTAGAAAAAACACCTTTTGGGGGAACAAAAGGGTCCTTGAGCTGGCTGTCTCTAGAAAAGGAGACAGCTTTAGAGACAGCTAGCTCAACGGAAAGTCACGAGGGTAGGGGGCGTAGTATTCGAAAGAAAGGATTTACTCCTTTTTGTTGGAAGAAAAAGACACCATAGTCTCTACTGCCTTTTTTATTAAAATCCGACGGGTAGATCACTTGGACTAAGTGCATCTCTGAGGCCGCCTACAGTCACACCGGGTAGAAAACTAAACGTAGACCTAGCTCAAGGGAGCTAGTGGGACATGGTCCCAGGGACCATTTGTCAGCAGCCTGGGAAGCCGCGGGGCAAGGCATTTTGCAGTCACCTCTGGAGGTGACCGCAAATGCCGTTTTTTTTTTTTTGCATTTTCTTCAAAAACTGGCAAAATTTCGTTCACAAAAGTTCTTGCACAGTTTGTGGATGGCGCCGTGTGACCAGCCAAGTACCAAATCACCATTGCTCCAGACAGCCGCAACCTTGTCCCATCTGAAAAGGTACAGCAGTGTGACGTGAACCATGCCCACAACCTCAAATCAGCCCTTCCCAAATCCGCATATTTTGCGGATTTTCAGATGGGACAAGGTCGCGGCCATCTGGAGAAATGGGGATTGTGTACTTGGCTGGTCACACGGCGCCATCCACAAATTGTGCAAGAACTTTTGTGAACGAATTTTTGCCAATTTT